GAAAGAAGATTTTTTTGTAAGCTACTTTTGAATTCCACATCATGATACATTTAAGACTGCTCATGTGATAACTTTTACGTAAATTATGTATTTCAGAATAAACTAATTGCATATGGTTCGAAGGTTGCCCTTGTTCATATACCATCCAATAAATATTTGTCTACCAATGGAATCAAATATGACTTGGGACCCGATAATAAGCAATATATGGTATTTAAAATGGTTTTTATTTTATCAATTATAAATTATTTAATTTAACATGGTAAATTTAATATACAATACTACAAAGGTTATCGGTAAAGGCCGTGAAATAGATTTGACAAATGATATTTGGACTATTATTGGAGCATATGGCACTAATGTAAGAGCGGGAAGACCTGTTCCTTATAACACAATTGTCGGATTTAAACATCAAGCGACAGGAGGTAATTTACATTCTCATAATATGTATGATGGGAGAATCACACCGATCTCGAAGCATCAGCAAGGTATTTATTGGTATCGTACGTGCAAATTTTTTTGACATATCAAAGCTTACAAAATAAAATGTTTTGTTTAGTCACAATCAATCCGGGTGCGAGTGGAAACTATGACGATGATTTTCTTATTCAGCGCATTAATTCAAAAGTTCCTAAAGAAGAACCGGGATATTTGATGAATGGTGATATAATCTGCCTTTTTCACATCACTACTAATAAGCCAGCACTCTACAGTAATTCCATATTATTTAATGATGGAACACAAGAAGTTTCTTGTCATGGAAATGGAAATGACGAGAATAATAAGGTAACATACATTATTAAATAGGCATATTACATTTATGGTAAACACTAAGTGAAATTATTATAATGATTTTTTAGTGGCGTATTGAATTAATTGACTGATAAGAAATAATGTGTAGATTACAGTTATTTTACAACTTTCTAAATATCTTAAAAAGGTATTGATTCATTATTTTATGATATTGTTTATGATCGAAGACTTCTGAACAATATTCTATTCATCCAAATTAAAATGAATCTACATTA